TATACTATATATATTTATATAGCTATATATAAGCAATTTATATTAGTATATACATATATAGTTACAAGAAATTGCCTTAGATAAAAAACAATTAAAAAAAAATAGCCCGGAACGAAAAAAGCCCGTTTAGGCCCATTTAGGCCCGCGGGTCCGGCACATTTAGCTCGGGACCATGTGGGCTTAGGAACGTACTGGGCCGGTTCCACTCATTTGGCCCGTTAGGCCCGGGACTACCTCAGCCCGACCCGCCTAAGCCCAGGCCCGTTTGGCCCATTTAGGCCCGGGCCCGGACCACAATACAGTCTTAGTTAGGGTTTTGTAGAATTGAATAGCAAAAACTCAAGGCTTTAAACTTTGTTTAATAGAATAGCTTAGGAATAAGTGGTTCTATTTAGTATACATTAGTTGTTCTTACCTATAACTCTTTTATATTCGGGAAAGTCATAAAGAGAAAACATTACCTAATTATTGAGAAATATTGGGTAGTCATTTAAGAATTATTTACATACCAAAGGACCTTACATTAGAAATATATCATATTAACAATGATAGCATTACATTCATTGATGGGGACACGACCTTGGTTTCCTTAATTAAATTAGTTACATTTTCATAACAAAATAGTTCTATTGATAATTCACAATTACAACACTCTCTTTTTAAGCTAACGGAGTAGGATTACGACTTAAGTCAAGTTACACACTATTCAAGTAACTTTTTCACACCTATTCCCTGTGGGATTCGACCCCAACCTAGTTGGATTATTATATTTGATATCAACCGCCTTACACCATTTATTTAGGTATAATTTGAGCGTATCAAATTTTGGCGCCGTTACCCGAGAATACAGTTTTGAAATTACTAATTAGTGTGTGCTTTACTTTACGTCTTCTTCTATTCCATCACATTTTGCTTGATTTGCTTGGTTTCATTAGGTAAACATGGACGAGCCGGAAGAAAAGAATATTTTTGCGGATATAGATGAGTATATTGATGATACAAATGTCATTATTCCTCCAAGAGTTGATATTTCTACCTTCAAAGTGGAACATATTCTAATCCTAATGCTCAAGGCAGAGGGATTTTTCCGAAACTCCATAGATGACGATCCGACACAATATCTCAAAAAAAATTGGGGTGTGTGTGCGATGCACAAGCAGAATCATGTCTCAGATTATGCCCTAAGATTGAAGGTGTTCAAGTATTCTCTAATTGGAGAGAAAAGACATTAGATCCAAAATCTACCTCGTAATTCCATCCATTCTTGGCCCGAACTCTTCCGAGCTTTCCTAGAAAAATGGTTTCCGCAAAGTAAGAAGTTCGAGCTCCGGGATAAAATTTTCTTCTTCAAGCAATTACCGTAAGAGAATCTACATGAGGCATGGGATTGATTCAAGCTATATTTAGTGAGGTCACCGAATCATGGTTTTCTAGATAATATCTGGTTGGAAAAGTTTTACATGGGCTTGGATCCTATGAATCAATCCATAGCAAAAAAAGCAGCTGATGGATCCTTTATGGATAAAACATTTGCAAGGGTTACACAAATCCTTGACAAGATGGCAGAACATAACCAAGCTTGGCACTCTGAAGACACCACAAGTGAAATTGCATATGGTACTCCTTCCTTGACCAACATGATTAAGGAGAACCAAGAAAGAGATCAAGTAATTGCCGGGCTTGCCAAAAATGTCAATGTTTTGATGAAGATGTATATTGAAGCCAAACAAAAAAAAGTTAACATGGTGGAAATGTTCAACCCATGTCAAATGAGGATTACGAGGAAAAACATTATGTCAAAAACTCTCAAGGAGGTTATTAAATGCAACCCTACCAAGGTTCAGGACAACAAAACTAATGGAGGCCTAACACGCAAGGGCAAGGCAACCAACAGTGGTGAAACGACCAAGGTAGTTCAAATTAAGGAAATTGGAGTAACAACAACAATAATTTTTCAAATCGGAGTTCTAACCCCTATGTTCCACCAAAGGGGAAATATTCAAACTCTCCACTTTAGAAAGAAAGTTCTTCAAGTGAGTCCAAGTTGGAAAACATGCTTGAACGAGTATTGCAAAATCAAGAGAGATCTGACACTTCAATGAAGAATATGACCGAGCTTGTGGGCTCTCAATACCGCATCTATTCAAAAGTTGGAGATGTGAATGAGAGATCTCTCAAGAGAGTAAAATCTGAAGCAAAAAGGCATGCTCCCAAGTGACACAATTGTAAATCCAAAAGGTAGTGGGAGTGACCCAACTTCTCATTGTATGGAAATCACAACTCGAAGTGGGAAAATACTTCAAGGAAAGAATGAACAAGTGGTTGAAGTGGAAGATTTGAACAAGAAGTCGAGGCACAAGTTGAGGTGCCAATTGTTGTTGAAGTTGAAGACTCCCGAAGAAGGTGAGAACTCAAGAAGTGAACTATAAAGAGGTTAAGGAAAAGGTAATAGAGGCACCAAAAACTCTAGCACCAATTCCTAGGCCTCCGCCTCCTTTCCCTCAGAGACTTGCTAGAAAAGTTGATGATAGCAAACTCAAGAAGTTTTATGACATCCTCAAGCAATTATCAGTGGACATTCCATTTGTGGAAGCATTCCAAGAGATGTCGGGTTTTGCTAAGTACTTGAAGGAGTTGATCACTAAGAAGAGGACCACCAAGAATGAAGTGGTGAATGTGACTCACCGGGTTAGTTTTATTATTGCAACTACCGTCGTCCAAAAGAAAGAGGACCCGGGAGCCTTCACCATTCCATGCACTATTGGACTACGCGATTTTGCACTAGTCATTTGTGATAATGGGGCTAGCATCAACTTAATGTCCCTTGCTATTTACAAGCAAGAAGTATTAGGTATGCCTAGGCCTACAAGCATGAGGTTGAAAATGGTCGACCGTTCAATAAAGCGACCGATGGGAGTTGTTGATGATGTTCTTGTAAAAGTGGGAAAGTTTCTCCTCCCTGCTGACTTTGTTATCCTAGATTGTGCTATTAATAAAGAGATCCCTATCATTTTGGGGAGACAATTCCTTTCTACTAGGAGGGTACTCATGGATTCAGAGTGAAATGAGATCAAGTTCCGAGTTAATGATGAAGAAGTTACCTTTCAAGCGAGTAAGGGTATGAAATTACCACATGTATATGAAAGTATCTCAACCATTAATGTTGATGAGGTAGAGGATGCAGTCGAGGTAAATATGGAAGAGAATGCCTTGGTGAGGCATTGGAGGCTATTTTGGTGAATTTTGATGGTGAAGACATGGAAGGATACATGGAAATGGTAAATGCATTAGAAGGGCTTGGGTCCTTCACTTATGCACCAAAGAAGATTTCTCTTGACTTAGAGAATAGAGTCACTCCTCCCACTAAGCCTTCAATTATCGAGCCACCACAAATTGAGCTCAAGCTACTTCCATTGCACATAAGGTATAAATTTCTTGGCTCTAATGAAACTCTATCGGTAATTGTTTATTCTTTGTTGAATGATGTGCAGGTTGAACACTTGTTAAATACCTTGAGGGAGCATATATAGGCCATTGGGTGGATAATAGCGGATATCCGAGGGATTCCCGCCGGAATTTTGTGAGCACAAGATACAATTGGAGCAAGAGTAAACCTAGCGTGGAGCATCAAAGAAGGTTAAACCCTTACATACAAGAGGTGGTGAAGAAAGAAAACATAAAATGGTTGGACGCCGGGGTTTTCTACCCCATTACCGATAGTCCTTGGGTGGATCCGGTGCAATGTGTGCCAAAGAAAGGAGGCATGACCGTGATTCAAAATGACAAAAATGAACTCATTCCAATGGGGACGGTGATTGGGTGGAGAGTGTGCATGGACTACCGTAAGCTCAATAGTTCTACTTGCAAAGACCATTTCCACATGCCCTTTATTGATCAAATGCTTGATCGGCTAGCGGGAAGGACATTTTATTTCTTCTTGGATGGTTATTTCGGCTATAACCAAATCAACATCGCCTTAGAGGATCAAGAGAAGACAACATTCACATGTCCGTAAGGGACCTTTACTTTTAGCCGGATGCCATTTGGGTTATGCAATTCCCCTGCTACCTTTCAATGATGCATGATGTCAATCTTCTCAGACATCATGGAGGATTTCTTAGAGGTGTTCATGGATGACTTTTCTGCAGTTGGTGATTCCTTTGAGCATTACTTGATAACCTTCAGCAAGTGCTCAAAAGATGTGAGGAAACAAACCTTGTGCTCAATTGGAAAAAATATCACTTTATGGTGGACGAGGGTATTGTTCTGGGCCACAAAATATCCAAGCAAGACATATAGGTTGATCGGGCAAAAATCGAGATCATTTTCAAGATTCCTCCTCCTACTTCGGTAAAAGGTGTTCGGAGCTTTTTGGGGCATGCATGTTTTTATAGGCGATTTATCAAAGACTTCTCAAAAATTGCAAGTCTCATGTGCAAGCTCCTTGAAAAGGATGCAAAGTTTGAGTTCGATGAGCAATGCTTCAAAGTTTTTGAGGAATTGAAAGCAAGGCTCACCACGACACCTATTATTGTCACACTAAATTGGTCTCTTCCATTTGGACTCATGTCTTGCGCTAGTGGTGTAGCTATTGGAGCCGTACTTGGTCAATGACATAACAAGATTATTCATCCTCTCTACTATGTAGGCAAGACACCCAATGGCGCGCAAGTGAATTACACTCTGACGGAGCAAGAACTGCTTGCTATTTTCTATGCTTTTGAAAATTTTCGGGCCTATTTGTTGGGTTCCAAAGTAATAGTCTACACCGATCATGCTGCTCTCCGCTACCTTATGGCGAAGAAGGATACTAAACCAAGATTGATTATGTGGGTTCTTTTGTTACAAGAGTTTAAAAGAACCGAGAATCAAGTTGCATATCACTTATCTAGGCTTGAAGAGGCAGGGATACGAAAAGAAGATCTTGAAATTAATGATGCCTTCCTTATTTGAACATATATTGGTATTGTCTAGCACTTTCACTCATTGTATGCCTACATCGCTAACTTCTTAGTTAGTGACATTATCCCCGACGGATTGGAAGATTATCAAAAAAAAGTTCTTGCGGGAGTAGGCAATACTATTGGGAGGAACCCTTTCTGTTCCGGATTTGCACTGACAACATCATTTTGTGTTCCGAAAGATGAGGTAATTCAAATTCTCAAAGCATGTCATGACTCCCCAGTGGGGGGCCATTATGGTGGAAATTATATTGTGGCAAAAGTGCTTGAATGTAAGGCTGTATTGTGGCCCGGGCCTGGCCCGGGACCGGCCCAGGACCGCGGGCCTAACGGGCCTAACGGGCTGGTTCAACCGGGCCTGGGCTCTAGTGGTGTAAAAGCCCGTGGTGGGCCGGTTCAAGACCATTAGCTCATGAGCCCGGGACCGGCAGG